GCTTTCTCCCGAGCCGTGGGAAAGCCGAGGCAGCTCCCTGCACCGGCAGAAGCGCGGCTGGGGGTGAGAAGGGAGGGCGATACGGCTGAGCGGAGCCGCCGACGTTCCCTCTCGCGCTTCTTTGTTCCCCACTCTTCTTCCCTTTCAGTGCGGCATCGTCCTGGGGGCTCTGCTGCTGATTTTCTGCTCCTGGATGACTCATCAGTCCTGCATGTTCCTGGTGAAATCGGCCAATCTCAGCAAGCGCAGGACCTACGCCGGCCTCGGTGAGGGTTTTCAGCTCTAGGGCTTTTCGTGTGTTGTGTTTTTCTTTTTAAAACTGCGGTTTTACTTTGACCTCTTTAATTTACAACTTTCCTACTGATATTGTTGGAGTAGCAAATGGTTTCTTGATGTAGTTTTCAATTTGCCTTGTTTTGCTCTGTCAGTCCCTCCCTCCCGCCCCATGTCCCCAGGGGAGAGAGAGGGGTTAATTTTGCTCTTGACAGTGAAGTTAATAGGCTCAGAATTGTTTTGACTCTGCAGGGCAGGGGAGGAGATGCAGCGCTGACTGATCAAAACCCAAGTTTTCGGGAGCTGGCGTAGAGGGTGTCTGGTGTAAATTATTGGTCTCGGCACGAAAGCCGCGAGCTTCCCCACCCAGTGTGCTGCCGAGGACATCGGGTTCTGCCAGCGGAGAGCCTGGCATGGAGCTGGGGCTGCCTGGATCCGCGCCCTGCGCGCGTTCGCGGCGGAGGGGAAACAGCGCACGAGGTTCCAAGCGGCCAAGAAAATAAAAACATCTGCGAGATTCATGTGTGGGTTTTTGGCAGAGCCTGTCAGCCCTCTTCCTCAGAGCTCGTCGCCTCTGCGCTGGCGCCAGGGTTGGCCTCGGCTTGCGGCTTATTCCCCATGTAAGCAGGGAGCGACTTGGGGGGGCAGGAGGAGGTGCTCGGGTTCCAGTCCTCTCCGTTGGCATGTGAAACGAGAGGAAAAGCCATCTTTTGCTCCTTTTCCCTTATTTCTCGGGGGGAGGAGAGAGTTGACTGGCATTGCCGTTGGTGAAAGAGCTAAAGAAATGCACGGCTGGCTCGCTGACCGTGTTGTTGACAGATGGGCTTCCCCCATCCTCCAAGTGCCTGAGGTGCTGCTGCCGGGCTGTACGTCTTGGCTTCTGCCGAGTTTTAGCTGCTGGGAAGAGAGAAGATCGAGGAGCTCTGTGGTCTGGAGGTTGTGCCTCTGATGCTGGAGGGAAGGGGGAGCCCCCAGGTGGCATCTGGCTAGTCCCCGCCGCTCCCAGCCCACGCTGCCTCTCCCTGCCCCCTCGCAGCCCGTCTTTGTGTGCCGCTTCCCCGAAGTACAGAGAGTTCCCTCCACCTTGGAGCATCTCCCGGGAACGAGGGATCCTCTGCCCTCCCCGAAGCCAAGCGGCTCGGATACACCAAGGGCCAGTAATGCTGCTCAGCTTCCTGGCATGCCGAGGCTGGCTGGGAATGCCCCTGCCCTGGGAGAGGTGCCACCGGGAGGGACAGCCCTGGGAGGAACGGCAGCGCTCCTGCGATGCCGCCGCGTGCAGCGAGGTTGGGCAGCTCCACACAGACAGCCTTTGTCACCGTGGGCTTGTGCCCTGGTACATCTGCGAGGGTTCCTGGCAGCCACCGCCGCCGATTCTGTGGGAGGCTTTGGCAGCGCTGAAAGATGTAGGAAAGTTTTGCAAATTCCCTTCAGTCAGCCAGTCCCTTCCGGAGGAGCATTGAGAACGATCGTTACAGCTACAAAAGAGCCGGGGTCGTAACGGGCTGCTGTGTAGCCCAGGCGCCTTCGCTCGGCAGCGCTCTGTGCCTGAAGGGGCTGGGTGGTAGAAACGTTTTGCTCTTTGCTGTTCTCCTGCGCTGTGTGGAAGGAAAGGAGAAGTGGGATGCAGTTCCCAGACAGACTTTAACCAGGAGATGAGTTAAAGCCTCCCATTACAGCTGCGGAAAGCGGCCTAAGTCTTTGTAGACCCCCTGTGCTGGGTGCCAGCGCCATCCGCAGCGTGCTGTGCCCTGCTCCCTGCAGAGAGGTGCTGAGGCACGTGCTGCCCCTGCTCGTAACCACGCTTGGGTCTCCAAGGGCTGCGCTAATTACCTGAGCGGATCCAGCTCTGCCCAGCTTGTTCCGCATCTAGAGATCCCATTCCAAAGATGCTCGACTGTACAATTTTATTTCACAGTCATCCTCTCCTTCCTCCTTGAGAAGACAAAGGATCCAGTTCTTCCCGTGTCCCCAGGTGGGGCTGTCTGGTGTAAGGGTTGAAGGCTCGTTCTCGTTAGAACATGGCTGCAGAACAGCCGAGGAGGCCGATGGCTGCTCGGCGTCTCTGGCCTAGGCTGTCACTGGCAGCTGTAGCTGTTCTCCGGAGGCGCCAACCTTGGGATGTGACCCAGCCGTCAGCTATTTTCGGTGCTACCCCACATAACAGCTCCGGTTTGTTTTTCTGCTGTGCGTCTCCTGCCATGCTTTTTTCTCATTCTGTGGGAGAACATCTCGTTTCCTTATTTTTTAGCTCGAGCGGGGTCCAAAGCAATCAGACTTTGTAAGTTAATATTTAAAATAGCAGAAGATGCTTCCAGAAGTGAACGCAGTTTGTTTTCTGGCGGCCGCCGGGAATGTTTTGCTGTGCTGAACCTTGAGAGGAGACAAAGGGGAGCCCAGGCCGGCGGTTTTCCTGTCGGACCTCTGCGTTTAGAGGCTGACAGAACTGGGCAGTGTGGTCTGTGCTGGAACTGGAGGTCTCAATTCCCATTCTACCCAGTAAGGTCTAAAAATACAAGCGGAGTTTTCTTGGCATTTTCTTTTTAAGAAAAAACACAAATGATTTAAAGACTACTGATCTGCAAGCTAACCCCCAAGTATGGGGGGGGGGGAGGGAAAAAGACTTTGGGCCGGCACCCAC